TCATGTCTTTGAGGCAAGTATTCGCTGAGATTTAGGTTGTTTTATTTACGTGTCTGTGAAGAGAGGTGACGGAGACCGAGATGGCAGAGAGCGCCCCCTGTTTATTTTCTTTATTTTACAAAAGCACATTGTTTTGTTGTTATTATGACTATACACAAATAAAAGTAGACCCTTTGAAGTTTTAAATTGATACCTTACTGTATTCTTATCTGTACAATCAAAAATGGAGTATTTTAGTTCTTTTCGTGGTCATCAAAAAAATAAGAGACAGACCGCACCAGTGTGGGCTTCGACCCCAGAGGGTAAAATAGCATTTCAGTAAGTAATTTGTAGTAATTTCTCAAGCCAACTTAATAAGAAGACGTTTAAATAGGATTTCAGTAAGTTCGCTTTCTCAAGCAAACTTAATGGGCCTCATTCATGAAACACAAGCAGAACAAATTTTTGTGTAAATCGTCCGTAAGGTCGTTCTGACAAACTTTCGAATTCATGAAAATGTTCGTATTTTCAAAATGTTAGCTGGTATGAAAGAAATGTACACCTGCTCCCTACCACGCGTAAATGGTGCATAAAACGTTCTGTGCTCTTTTTTTGGCAAACTGATGACACGTAATTATTATGGCAGTGCATGAAAATTCAAAGTTCATTTGCCCTTGCCCTCTTTTTTTGTAGCTGATAACTGTAAAACCCAGCGCTCGTCACTGTCCACTGTAAATAGAGGACGAGTGGGACAAATAGCAACAAACCATCCTACTTGTACAACGACTGCCTACAACAATGGAGAAGTCAAAATTACTAAGATACTTGTAATACGTTGCCGCCATGGATGTTCCAAATCAAAGCAACCAAAGCATCTCAGCTGGAAAATGCTGTGCCACCAAAAAGTTTTCAATCGCCACCAGCTGGTCGTTTTAAGAAGAGCACCTGACATTTTTTCAGCTGGCTAAAACCTCTTTGGTGGACACACGTTATTGAATATTTATTGTTAGGCAAATGGCCTATTAGTCTTTTTTGCATTTATTCAATATACTGGAGCCAAACCTGAGAAAGTAGACCAGAATATTCCACTGCGTTTGTGGACACGCAATTTGCATAGCTGTAATTCTTAGGTGGGGATTATGCTAATTGTGAATGAGCGTGCACGAGCGCCCTATTTACAAATGATTGGAATTCATTAACATGCACGTTTAACTATCAAATCGGATGTTTACAAAGCGTTTGTGAATCTGGAGGAGAGTTTTCGGGAAGGTCCATTTTACGCGCAAATTACTCAGAATTTACTCCTATATTTACGAATGTTTCATGAATGAGGCCCAATGAGTG